CCCGCCGCCCCGCCCCGAGCCGGGGATGGCAGCGAAGGCCCCTCCAGGGCCTGGGAGCACTCGACGCAGTGGCCGGCGCCTACAGAGCCCTACCCAGCCGCTGCCCCTGCAGAGACCTCCAACTACTTGGCAATCCCCGACAGAGCCCCCAAATCCACGCTGATGCCGAAGCTGTCCTCGGTCCCCAACCCAGGCAGTGCATCCTTTGGGACCCCCTTTGTCCCCAGCCCAGCCAGCGCCTCTTTTGGGGCTCCATCAGCCCCCGACCCAGGTGCTGTGTCCTTTGGGACCTCCATGGTCACCACTGTGACCAGCTCATCCTTTGGCTATCCATCAGCCTCCAGCCAGGCCAGCACATCACTTGGGAACCCCTTGGTTTCCAACTCCAACAAGTCTTTTGGGGCACCTCTGGTGCCCAACCTGTGCAGCACATCCTTCGGGAACCCCCTGCTCCCAAATCCATCCAGTGCATCCTTCCAGAACCCCTTGATCCCAAATCCATCCAGTGCATCCTTTGGGAACCCCCTGCTCCCAAATCCATCCAGTGCATCCTTTGGGAATCCCTTGATCTCAAATCCATCCAGTGCATCCTTTGGGAATCCCTTGGTTCCAAATCCATCCAGTGCATCCTTTGGGAACCCTTTGATCAGCAACCCAGTCCCCATTTCGCTTGGGCGTCCATCAGCCTCCCACATGGCCGGCTCTTTCTTTGGATCCCCTTTTGTCCCCAGCCCGGCCAGCGCTCCGCTGGGATCTGGTGCCTATCCCCTTCCTGCCGGGGAAGTGCCCTGGAGCAAGCCCAGCCCTGAGCCCCCCCTGCCCCGACCCCCTGAGGGCCCGGCTGCTGTGGAGCCCCCGGGCCAGCCCCACCTGGAGGATGCTCCTCATTTCCTCAGGAGCACCGACGGCCCCTCTCCGAGTGGGAGGAGCAGGCAGAGCCCCCCCAGGCCCTTCCCGGCGCAGCGGAGGATGCTCGTGGATCCCAGCAGCGGGAAGTGCTACTACATGGAGCCGCCGCGGCAGCCCCAGATGAAAACGCTCTACGACCCCGAGACCGGGCAGTACCTGGAGGTGCTGGTCCCACCGGTGGCATCACACACCGGGCTCTACC